ATCCTGACACGGACCCGTCAAGTAGTACTCGATAAGGAATCAGCTAAAGTTTTATTAATTATTAAATAACCATTAAATCATAGTCAACTATGAGAAGCAGTAGTAATGTAAAGGAGTAGTGAAAACGTTATAGGAAATATTGAAAATACAATTAAAATGATGGGCCAGTGCTAGATCATATAATAGGCAAACATCTAGTGACTTATGTTCTTGGCCTCAATAATCTGATATCAATACTTTTATTAGAGGAATACACAGCACTCCTGTGCTTGGCGTAGTTTTTTACACGTAAGTGTTTTTTGGGGGATTTGAATTACTTGAGTCAAAAAAAGTGTTTTCAACAGTGTATGCACGAAGGTGGTAGTGGCAAACGCAGGACCACACAAAACAGAACCGTACAGAATAGAGCATTGCCTATACGCTGACGATTTTCCTGTCGCACTCGACAACGTATCGACAACACGCACCGTATGTTTTAGCATTTTATAAATACTATGTAGAAAATGCAAAGATCAATTTACATAGTTTACATAAAACTATTAAAACAGGAATACTGCACATTTCTCTAATAATTGCTCATTATATACGAATATATAAGTATTTAATTCTTTTCAGTTACACAAGATGGATGAAGAAAATAAAATCGATGACAAATTGAAACGAAAAAGGGAATTGTCTAATGCGCGTGTGAAAAAATATCGTAAAAAGAAGCGGACTGAATCTCAGCAACTGAATTCTTCGATGCAGGATGACCCTACCGAGGAAGTGCAAAACAAGCAAGTTGAAGAAAATAATGTCGAACGAAAGAGAGCAATGGCAAAGGAACGTTCGAGAAGGTATCGTGCGAAGAAACGTCTTAATGTTCTAAAATCTGATCATCATGTGGTTCATGATTCACAATTTCCTGGACCTTCGTATGAAAAACCATCACTTGTATCAAGAAAGCAACGAGCTACGATTCATGGTTCTCATATTGCCGGAAAATCCACAAATATGAGTATTCCTCTTGTTGTGCGCGATGATTCGGAAAATTTAAATCGCATCGGAGAAAATCTTTTTTCACCACTAAGAGAAGAAAATCATCCATTGCACGTCGATGATAATTTAGTACCATCAGAAGATCAGGTGTGCACTACTCTCAATGTACAATTCAATAGATCATCGGCGACTTACAGTACCTATGCAAGACACAGCAGTGCCCATACACAATTTCAAAAACAGTTTATTCAGAATAAATTTGGCTATGCTTGTAAAATTTGCGATAAATTATGAGTTAAAGGTGACTTGAAGAATTTAATTGATGATAGTGTAGAGTTCGTAACGAACATTTCTGCCAGATGTTGATCCACATTCCATCGCAGTTTGTTCTACTTGTCGAAGTAGCATTCATAAAAAATCTATACCCAATATGGCTGTATACAACGGTTTTGAGTACCCTACAATTCCTGCTAACTTGCAGAATTGTCTATTAGATTTAGTGTTCGAAAGATTGATTTCTCCTAGAATTCCTTTTATGCAAATCAGGAGACTTCGTCATGTTCATGGCCAATACGGTATTTATGGACAAGTTATTAATGTTCCCGTGGAAGTCAATACGATGGTGAATAAGTTATCGAGAAAGACGAATGATGATCATTGTATTTACGTACACATCAAACGAAAAAAGATTCACAAATCGAGCTTTTTACACGGTCTAATTAATAAACGCATTATTAAAGAGTGGCTACAATACTTGGTGAATACTCCACTTTATATAACGTATAATATAACCATAGATGATCAGTTCTTTGATAATAAAAATGATGAGGAACTTCCTCTCGATGATCCTAATGAAAATAATGAAGAAAATGATGGCAATGACCTTGAAAATATTCCAATTGAAGAGAGTTTATTAGCGCAGCAACAAACAGTAATGTGGAATGACGACCTGTATTTAAGAATAGCTACTGGGGAAAATAATTTACCTTTAAGTTTATTATTTGACGAATACGCTGAAGAATTGTCATTTCCCTCAATTTGTTTAGGTCAATTTCGGCAGTTTCGAGAAGGACTTACTGTTACTCCCCTCATGATGGCAACTAGTGCATTAAGACGGTCGGATAGACGTGGAGTAACGCCTCATCACTTATTATATATAGCTATGAAAATAATGAGGATAAGAGTAAGGGATTCCCTCACCGTTGCGTTTAAACACGTAGGAAAAAATGCACCATTACTAAAGAGGAAATACAATCTGAGGATTACATTCATAATTGTATTGAAAGTAATCTCACTTTTTTACGTTCTATACCTAATTCAACGTGGTATTGGTCGGAAAGAAACAAGGATCTATTTGCAATGATTATGCAATTAGGTAAACCGACTGTATTTTTCACCATAAGTGCTAATGAAATCGGATGGTTGGATTTGCTACAATTGCTGCACAAACGGAAGACACATGTCCATATTACATTAGAGGAAATATCACAATTACATGGTGAAAAATACCCTTATTAATGAAGATGCTGTTACTTGCACTATCTACTTTAATAAATTAGTTAATGTTCTTATGAAGATTCTTCAATCAAAGACATGCAGTCCTTTTGGGAAGTACAGAATTCGCCACTACTTCAAGCGCATTGAGTTTCAGCATCAAGGCAGTCCTCATGCTCACATCATAGCTTGGCTTCATAATGCTCCAAAAGATGCTCTCAATGAAGATTATGATGAAGCCATTGAACTTATAGGTACTTTAATATCGGTTTCTATAGCGGAAGCATCAGGGAATATTAAACTTCAAACGCATAAACATACATTCACATGCTACAACAAAATTACTGCAAAAAAAGTGCAAAAATGTAGATTTAAAGCTCCGTTCATGCCATGCAAAGAAACAATGATTTTAACTCCAATGAAAAATACTGAGGAAGGATTTATCAATTATCGAAAACGTAACGCTGGAATAAGAGTACGTTTAGAGAATGAAGATTTTGAAGACATGGATAATTTTTACAATCGTAATGGCATAAATTCGGATGAATATTATTACAATATAATCAGAGCCGAAATAACTAGACCAAAAGTTTTCGTCAATCGTGAACCTTCGGAAAAATGGCATAATCCTTTCAATCCATTCATATTTAATATAGTCCAATCTAATACTGACTTTCAATTTATCACGGAAGAATATTCATGCGCAGCTTATGTAGTAGAATATGTTAATAAAACCAACAGAGGAGTAAGTCACGTGCAAAGAAAAATAATCGAAACAATGAATGAACATCCGGAATTCGATATTATCGACATAACCAAAAATATTAGTGTGAATGTACTAAATCATACCGAAATCACAAGTCAAGAAGCTGCGTGGTACTTACCACGAGAGCCCATGTCAAAAACTTCAGTCATTATCTTGTCTGAATGTCTGGAGTTGTCTGAATTTGATGATGATTGTACTGATGTTTGGAGAGAAAACTGGTTCGATAACTACGAGAAAAGGCCAGAATATTGGGAAAGTATTACGTTAGCGCAATTCATATCGAAATACACACAAAATAGGGAAAAAACAATATATTGAGAGGCATGAACTCAAGATAATTCGGTATCGGAATTACGACATGAGCATTGACTTAAACCAGAGAACATATATTACATGGAAGCGTAGGTCCCGTGTTAACATTTCGCAGAGAAAAAGTAATTTCACTTTTCTCCGGTAGATGGCACGGCGGTGTATCAATATGCTACACACATGTAAAGAGTATGAAGCCACGCCTCTTGCAGTCGACTCCCTTGCACTCATGCTCACACCCTATCACGATCTCTTGCTTACATTCACCTGCTTCCAACGTTGCACGTGATAGTGCGTACTCGCTGGCATTAACGCATTTCTAATGTTTGGAATGATAATTTCAAGGATAATGATAACGCTCATAATGCCAAGTCCTCCACGCGAGCAATGAATGTCAAAAGAGGCGCGATCATAGCAAGGCGCGGAGCTAATAATTTATCGGTGTGTTTGTTCACATCGATACAAGGAGCGCTCGCAGTGGCTGGGGTAATCACTAACAGATTACCCCAGCGTTTTGTGCCAAATCCTCCCATAAGGCCTACGCTTCCATGTAATATATGTTCTCTGCTTAAGGGATCTACCCTAATTAGAATTTTCAAAAAATTGATTTTTTTTTATTGCATTTTTCGAAAGTATACATATTTAAAAGTATCATACTAAAATTTTATACAGATCCGAGCAGTCTAAGTGTACTTTTGAGCGACGTTTACTTAGCTACCTGAGCGCGCTAATATACGCACCGCTCGGAGCGGTACTACCTACCTGCCTTTGTATACATGAGGAGCTGCTACCTTTTGTAAATATACTATATACGAAACGAAGGTAGGCTATTTTGAATGAAAATGAGCACTATGAAGAAACTGAAGGCATAATGTATGGTGCAGGCAACGCTGATTAGACGTAAGTAAGATTTTTTCACGATTCTTCGTTAAAGAAAACTTTAAACGCGTTTTTCTCGAAATGACGTTTTTGGTCGGCTTGTTGATAAAATCTCCGAAACTATTCAACCGATTCTTACCAAAATTTTACCACATGTTCTTTATGACTATAGCTATAGCGCATATCATACGAATATGCGCTATTTCATATTTTAGTAGGTAATTACTATTTACATACTGAATCTAAAACCATTTTTTTTTTCAGATCATCCAATCCAGAGATTTTATCAACAGCGCACACCCATCTTTTTTTTGGACCTGTGTTCTCCCCCATTTTTCTGTACTAAAACTGAGTGAAATGAATATAAAAAAATGTTGTTTGTGTATTTTAAGGGTGTATTTTTTAGGCCTAACACTTTTTATATCCATATTTATAATTTATACCGGTCAGAAAACTTCCTGAAAATAACCTTTTTTTGCCCGTCTAATTAGGGTAGACCCCTTAAACGAATATAAACGAGAGATGGTGACCCTACACTTACCATTCCGAAACGAAGAAGAAGAAATATTAGCAGAGATGAAATTTGTTACCATTTACGATGATAATGAGGATATTATTCTGCAGAGGAGACAAGAATTCGAATCAGACATTGACATTGACAAAACTATTCAAATTTGTAAAGAGTTATGTCGTGAAGAAACTCCACTGGATGAGGATGAAATACAGGACGCTGTCAACAGATTTCCGAAATAAAATCCCTTTGAGCAATTATACAATAATCCAAATTCAGATGTAAATAGTGATCTTCGACTAGCTACACTGAATAAACTCGGTGCCATTGCTAAAGAAAAGGAAAATATCATGTCTAGTGTGGATTTTTGTGCAACTATGAGGCTAATGAAAGGCAAAGAATGCTGCTAACACATGTAATCAACCGATTATTATCTAATGATAATAATCCTTTATAAATTTTCTTCCCTGGACCAGCTGGATGCGGCAAAACTTTCGTAATTAAACTTATTATGGAAATATATAATCGGTTTTCTGACAGTGACAGGTACTGTAATGCCTACATCGCTTGTGCATCAACAGGAAAAGCCGCTGTAGCAATAGATGGAACAACTGTACATACTGCTTTGAAAATATCATTGTCGAAATTGTTGCCTTTGAGTATAGAAGTCGCACATCAATAGAGATCATTATTTAAATATGTCAGAGGCATAATAATCAATGAAGTAAGCATGGTTGGTGCAGAACTTCTAGAACAAATCGATTTACGTCTTAAGCAAATCACTGGTAATTTTGCAAGGAATTTTGGAAACTTAGATGTAATATTAATTGGCGATTTGAGACAATTACCTCCAGTCAAAGCAACACCGATATACATATAAGCAAATAAAACGTAGAATGACTGGACCGACAGTATGGCGCGATTTGAAATTTTATGAACTCACTGCAGTTATGAGGCAAGCAAACGGTATGTTCTCCAACGCTCTTACGAAAGTGGGAAATGGAGGAAAACTGAACACGGATGAATTAGCATTAATTGAATCGAGATTCGCTAGCAAAGAAGCAGCAGATATTGCCTGTTCTCACGGGATACGACTTTTTTATTCGAATGTAGATGTTCAAAGGTACAATAACTCCATATTAAACATAGCAGAAAATAAAGTAACTTCTGTAGCAAAAGATGTTTATACGGGCTTTCATGATGCTGGGCAAGAGGCTTTTCATAAAGCAGAAGCTACATAAAATGTCGACAATTGATACAGAAGGATTGCCTTATCAAATAATATTCGTATTGGATAAATATTATATGTTGACTATTAACGTCAATGTATCGGGTGGATTGGCTAATGGTGCAGTAGGAAAACTTTGCTTCATTGATTATGATAATAATGGGGAAATCATCAGAGTTTGGCTCATTTTTCCAATTCTAGAAAAATTTTGAAGGAAAATTCGAAGCAAAGTTTCAGGATATATTGCGGATCATAATATTTCAAGGTATGCTGTACCTATAGCCAGAAGATCATTTACTATCCCACTCAACAATAACAAAACTATCCATGCTAAACGTAATCATGTTCCACTGGTGTCTGCATGTGCTATAACGATTCACAAGTCACAAAGAGCAACATTCGATGAAATTGTTGTTGATGATGAAATTGAAATTTGATGAAAAAATGAGAAAACGCATTCTCGGCAATTGGTATATGTTGCGTTATCAAGAGCGCATTAAAGGACTTTATATTGTGACTGAAAAAAATAATCCTACATTCCATCACGGACGAAAACAATCTACATCAGTCATTGATTTACAAACTGAATTCAAAAGGCTATCCCTCAACAGGCTTCAAACAGTGACTGATATCTTAACAAATTTCATTTCGAATACAAATGGCATATCAATATATTCATTAAATTGTCAAAGTTTACGAGCACATGCTTCAGACCTCGATGACAGTATTACGCAACGTTTAACTATATTAATTTTATCAGAAACTTGGATGAATAATGAAGAAGACGTCGATGTCCCAAATTTTCATTTTGTTGCTAAATTTAAAAGACCTGATTGTCGAGCTGCCGGTGTAGCTATATTAAAAAATAACAGAGATATGTCAACTATTGTCACATCACAGATGGATGTTACATTTCGTAATCCGCAATCATATGGATTGAATGTATCAGAAATAGGAGAAATTTGTATAACGGATTGTACAGCAGAAAACGGACTAATACTTGTAATTGTAGCTATATATATCTCGCCTATTCAAAGCATACAAGATATCATCAAATTCATCCATAGAAATTTACTTATTTATACAAAATCAGGATCGACTCTTCTCGAAGAAAACCTTCATGCATTGCCAATGATTTTGAGTTGAGATTTCAATGTTGATTCCCCAAAAGGTACATCAAAGCCGTTAGTGGATTTTTTGAAATCAACATTAGATTTGGATTTGTCGAATGATCCAAACGAAAGCACGACAAAATATGGAACAACGATTGACGGAGTTTTTTATAGATATTTAGCAAATTATTATTCCATAGTATTCATTTCATATTTCAGTTACCACAAACCTGTTGTTTCATTTTTAGAGTACGATACAAACCCTGATCAGCCCGAGCGAAATTTACCAGAATTATGTATACACAATAATAATAATTATATATATTTTAAATGTAATATACAACGAAAATGTAAAATGGAAAATGTAAATGTAAATGAATATAGAACGGAAAATAAATAACCTCCCCTATAATAAATAACCAAACGATTTCGCACCAATTTATCCCCTTTTTGAACAAAATCGGTTACTAAATAAAATATTTCCGGCTAACTTTTCACTGAAACTTGTTTTTAATATTCCAGAAAAACTATTGACTTGGTAGTTATCAAATTTTTGGTAATATTTTAATTAGACTACCAATCACCACCAAACGACCCCCAAACGATTAGTACAGAAAAAAATTGTTAAAGTTGAAAGTGTCCGGCTAACGTGTTAGAGGTAACTTGGTGATGCGTTTCTACTGAATGACCCTGCATGTACACGTATACATATACTCCACCAGACAAACACGTGGAACAGCTTCGAGGGCCATCCGCTAAGGTGGGGGGCTTATTACGATTTTCAAAGTAATATACATCCCCCAAAAAAAACACTTACGTGTAAAAAAACTACGCCAAGTACAGGAGTGCTGTGTATTTCTCTAATAAAAAGTATTGGTATCAGGCCAAGTACATAAGTCACTACATATTTGCCTATTATATGATCTAGCACTGGCCCATCATTTTAATTGTATTTTCAATATTTCCTATAACGGTTTCGCTACTCTTTTACATTACTACTGCTTCCCGTAGTTGATTATGATTTAATGGTCATTTAGTAATTATTAAAACTTTAGGCTGTGAACTAGCCTGCATACATCTAATACATATTTCTTAATTAAAATCATCTTTAGAAGTTTGGAATAGACTAAATCGAAGCACAATCCTTCGGCGATTACAAACATCACAACTAAAGCCTTTGATGGTCATTACTTAATGCACGAGATACGAAAAATTATATCTCAGCAGCACGATGAGCATCGAAGGCTGGGATTGGCTGAGAAATGAATACAGTACGACCTCGATTTTATGGGCAAGTCGGACAGAACTGATCATCTATGGGCAAGTCGGAAGTCCACAGAATCGAGGTTCCCTAAACCCCGCCCCTACAATGCGTAAAGCCACTCGCGCGCTTGTGGACAGTTACGTATCATATGGTCGTGGCATCCCTTCAATTGATTTTTATTTCGGTATTTAGCTAATTTTTTTATTTACATAGCTTCTATTTTTTTTTGACAGGTTAACATAATTGAAACGGTTACTACAATATTTTGCAAGACTCGTAATGCTGAAATATAAATAAGCAATTCTCAAAATATATTCAAAAACTCTTTATTGTTTATAGTGTTATTAAAGCGAACAGGAGAATATCACACTATAAAGGGTGTTTCCTAAACCCCGGACAAGAGACATACCGTTAGATCCGGCGTGGAAAAATACAAATATTGGCGTTAAGAAAAATCAATAATTGTAATTAGTTTATTAATTATTAAAGATTAAAGTAAGCCAATCATAAGCGCGTGAAAACTGGTAACTCCTCCTCAGTCTCCGCCTATTGGGAACAACCAATCATTTATTTCCCTACAAAAACAGTGACCGGTGGATACGTAAATATAGTAACGGAAATAAACAAAAGAATAATGCAAAATGTTTTTTGTGGGGAAGTGAATGATTGGCTGCTTCCCCACAAAAAACATTTTGCATTATTCTTTTGTTTATTTCCGTTACTATATTTACGTATCCACCGGTCACTGTTTTTGTAGGGAAATAAATGATTGGTTGTTCCCAATAGGCGGAGACTGAGGAGGAGTTACCAGTTTTCACACGCTTATGATTGGCTTCCTTTAATCTTTAATAATTAATAAACTAATTAAAATTTTTGATTTTTGTTAACGCCAATATTTGTATTTTTCCACGCCGGATCTAACGGTATGTCTCTTGTCCGGGGTTTAGGAAACACCCTTTATAGTGTGATATTCTCCTGTTCGCTTTAATAACACTATAAACAATAAAGAGTTTTTGAATATATTTTGAGAATTGCTTATTTATATTTCAGCATTACGAGTCTTGCAAAATATTGTAGTAACCGTTTCCGAAGCATAAATAATATCTGAATATTTCAAACAAAGTTATAATAAGATAGGAACAATGAATCTATAACAGAAACGTTTTTCGTTTTCCGTCGTTTAGTTTTTCTTAATACTTTTATACTTCTTCGATCCACGAAATTATTTCCTTTTCCGACACGTTGAGTTCTGGCAGCTTCAAACTTTTTTTGCTGCTTTTGAGGTTATACTCACGCGCGCGCGAGACACCGAACTGATTCACAATTTCTATTGGATGAATGCCTTCGTTGAGCTTATCAATAAGATTCATTTTCTCACTATTTGTTAAACTTTTACGTCTTTTTTTTTTATTTCTAACTTACAATATACGTATTTATAATATGTAATTATTATGTACAACCTAAACTATAAAGGGGCCCGGATGGCTGCCGACACTAGAGTGTAGTTACGGTACTGGCTGGTGGAGTGCACATGCGCCCCACTCTATAAAGTGGTAGCCAGTGTTGTGCAAGATTAAAAAATAGATAATCCAGTGCAGATCATGATTTTGATCCACAAAATGTATCTAGATCAGATACAGATGATATTATCATCTTTTATCTAGATTTAAGATTACGCAATTGGTCATCTAGATCATAGATCAAACCAAGGATTAAAAAATTAAGATATTTCACAGAGCTTTTAAGAGCTTTAGAGCTTAATTAAGAGCTTTCACAGCTTTAGGTCTGTTCTTTATAGCGTCTTTTGTGCTCCGGAGAAAGTATCAACTGTGCAAGAGCCTTAATCGAGACACAACAGTCTGTGGTTTCCGATTACTCACTTGTGTGGACTTATGTCAACGCAAGCGATATCATTGGCTGTTTCCCAAATACTCCGTTGGAGCCAGCGAATAGCGAGACTTCGTGTCAATAAAAGTCGGCACAAATTGAATAATTGGCATGCACCTAATGCTGTGGGGAGTTTTCTAGTTATTAAGGTTATTTTATAATGGGACGTTGTCGGCAGACGTTTGTCGAAAGTCATTTCTATTAGGGACGTTGTCGGTAGACGTTTGTCGCAAATCGCTTGTACAAGCCAACCATAGCAACGAAAAAAGTGGAAAAATCATTTTGATTGGTATATAGAAATGACTTACGACAAATGTCTTATAATAGGAAAACATGTAGTGACTTATGTACTTGGCCTCAATAATATGATATCAATACTTTTTTTAGAGGAATTCACAGCAATCCTGTACTTGGCGTAGTTTTTTACACGTAAGTGTTTTTTGGGGGATTTTTAATATTTCGAACTATCAGTATGTTTTACCTCGACATAATTGTCTGATAATTCGATGTATTAAAAATGTTGTCTTTCCGTAGCCATGAATGATAAAAATTAAATGACAAAAAATCCCTAACCAGATACATTATTTGTTTCATTTCACCATAGAAAATAATTGGTTCATTTTTATATGCTCATCATTTTATGCCCGAGATTTATAACTGCAATTTTGTTTTTGGTATTTTTTCGTAATGCCTTCTTTATCCGTCTGAATATTATTTATGCTATTAAAAAAGGAAACAGCGTACCATAAGTGTTTGTCACAGGTAGGCTCTCGGGAAGAAGAAACGTTCGCTGATTCATGTACCAATTTATTGGATGTATACGACGTAATATAATACAATATTTGTAGACTAATATAATCATATATTTAATGAATCTTAAGTTAACTAGGTGAACCAATAAGCATAGTTGATAATTAAGAAAAAAAATAAAAGGGTTGAGACGTGAGTTTCGAACTCGAGACTCTCGGACGTTAATTCAGCACCAAGCACGTGTGCTATCGAGTCATTGTGGTATATTGTTTAGCAAACTTATACTTCTGTAGTTACCCACGTTCGAGAGTTTTTTTTAAGTTTTATTTGCTTACTCTATTATTTCCAGAGCTTCATATGGATATTAAGGGTATTGACTACCTTATTACTACGGTTTATGTAATATCCTGTAAAAAAAAAAGGTGGATACAAGTCTCCCTATTTGAGTGTTCACCCGGTTTAAAATCGTAGATCTCGAGGAACACACGAATTCATTGGACCAATCAAAAACGTGGAACTAGTTCGAGAGTCTCGTTCAGGTGGCGCGTCGACGCGCCAAAAGACAGCTCCAGATTATCACGCGTAGTATTACTATATATACACGACCAATCAAAAACGTGGAACTGCTTCGAGGGCCCTTCGCTAAGGTGGCGCGCTGAAACCAAAGAAAAATTGCCATCACCAAAAACAGGCTCATTGGCAATCTCCCTACTCATCTCTGTAGGAAGCTTTCACAGCTTTAGGTCTGTTCTTTATAGCGTCTTTTGTGCTCCGGAGAAAGTATCAACTGTGCAAGAGCCTTAATCGAGACACAACAGTCTGTGGTTTCCGATTACTCACTTGTGTGGACTTATGTCAACGCAAGCGATATCATTGGCTGTTTCCCAAATACTCCGTTGGAGCCAGCGAATAGCGAGACTTCGTGTCAATAAAAGTCGGCACAAATTGAATAATTGGCATGCACCTAATGCTGTGGGGAGTTTTCTAGTTATTAAGGTTATTTTATAATGGGACGTTGTCGGCAGACGTTTGTCGAAAGTCATTTCTATTAGGGACGTTGTCGGTAGACGTTTGTCGCAAATCGCTTGTACAAGCCAACCATAGCAACGAAAAAAGTGGAAAAATCATTTTGATTGGTATATAGAAATGACTTACGACAAATGTCTTATAACGGGGTGCCTGGCTCGGCTCGTGCCCGCTATAATTAATTTTTGTTCCATAGAGCCGCCAGGGAGAGAGCTAGGAATTTCCGAAAAATTAGGAGTTCTGATCGGGACTCGAACCCGATACCTTCGGACTGCCAAGTCGAGCACTTACCACTGTGCTATTGAACCCACTGTCCGACCTGATAAGTCCTATTTATTTATTTTTCGGC